GTTTTTAAGTTATATTCCAATCAATGGAATGAGAGTTGAGATTTTTTAGCAACGTGTTTCTCCGTTTGAAGCGCCTACAAACGCGATCGCGAACGCAACGAAAAGCCATCTAGTAGATGATCTGTCGATCCTGTCATTCCATATATATTAAAAAAGTAAAAGTTTATTATTTTATTCAATTAAATCTTGTTTGTAAAATTGTTTGGAAATTAATATTGTAAATAAATTCCTGTCATATTTTGTATTTAATGTAACGTTGTGATTATTATTTCTGTCCGGTTTAGTCCGCTTTGAGTTTGTTATCGAAGAAGAAATGTCCGGTAATTTTAACAATTTTGGACTTGGCAACCCTAGCTGTTCCTCGGCGCGTCACGAACTTCGTTGACTCCTCGGCTTTTTTTACCTCGAACGACTCATATGATGCGAGAGAAAGAACCGCCGCGCCGCGCGTTAATCGAAGGGGGCCGGAAGCCTAATAAAGGGTCAACGGCGAATTCATCGGCGCCAAGTTTCCAAAGCGTGCGCCCATGCGCGTACTTGGTGCGGCGTGAAACGTGAACGTGAAGCGACGTACATTGCGCGCATTTTTCACCTGGTGTGTGGTCGCCGCCGGTTGTTCCTCACGTTCACGGGAGGACGCTCGCGCGGGGGACACCCTGTATACTCGCGTGTCCCTCGATGCCGGTTGCCTTGTGTGACCCTGGGGTGCGTTGCATGTCGTCGTCGTCGACGGCGTCGACGTAGTCCAGTCCACCCGTTCAATTGCCTCTCTCGCCAAGAATGGAGAAAATTATTCCCCTCAATTCGACGCAATTTAAAGGAATTAAGCGATCGCAAGTCGGGAGCCGCAAGTAACCACTCCTGAACCTTTTCCTTGTCCTTGTGCCTTTTCAGGCCCACCAAATAAGAGCGAGTCGCCGAGAGAGCGGCGGTTACCCCGGTTCCCACGACGAGACCCACGTAAGAATCGGGGGGAACCGAGCCCCCCGTCTTCCTCAGTTCGCCTGAAAGCGACCTAATCGATTTCTTCGATTCCGAAGCGGGAGGCCGACGTCGAGAGGACGTCGGTCGGGGGCAGGGGACAAAATTAGCGCGAGTGCGCAAAATTCTACAATTATCCACATTACTGCAACTGCACTCCGCGTTGTTACGATCACACAATCGTATTGTACACGTTATTGTCCACGTTATTCCAGCGCGACAGCACGAATACAGTCGATCGCGCGCGCCTCGTCGCTAATTGTCGCGAATCGTCGCGTTATTCAGCCGTTATTCGCTTTGTTACGCATTACGCACGCATTATACACCGGGTGTCGCGGGCGAAGGGACGAAGAGGAGGAGAAGGAGAAGAAGGGAGTTAACGCGACGGCATGCAGAAATTCCGCTGGCGGCCGGAACGGACCGTTTTTCTCGCGACGATCGCGCACAGTTCTCGGGGGGCCGGACGGCGCGTACTCCGAGCGGAAGGAGCGGAAACGACCCTAAGTATGACAAATTGTGAAAGTAATGGACGGTAATGTGTGTGTGTGTGTCTTACGGTGAACGGGAGCGTCTCGCGTCACGCGATCAGCTCTAAATCACGCGCGGCGACGAGAAAGAACGACGCGGCGCGTCGCGGAATTTCATTATGCTAAATCGGAGAGCCGGCCGGCCGCCGCCGCGCCGCGTCGTCGTAGTCGCATTATCTTTGTGGGTCGGAATTTGTTTTCGTCCAGTTGCGCTTTATTGCGTTTAACTGTCGTTTCGTTCGCGCTCAACGAGTTTGCATCAGCGGCTGATACAGCCGGCTGGCCACGACGTCGTTGTCGCAACGTCGTCGGCCGTTCGCACTGCCTCTTCATCGCCGAGGCACCGTTATTCCGACATACGGAAATTTCGTGCTTCGCGGAGTTTCCATAACGCGAGTTGTCGTTTTATGGTCAAGATAACAGCCGGCCGTTTGTTCCGACTGTTTTCTCTCTCTCTCTCTCTCTCTCTCTCTCTCTCTCCCCCCCTCCGACGTTTCTCTTCGTTCTTTCGAAATTGATAATTACACTGTTACAAACTGTCGTACGCTGACCTGCGGATGCTGGCTTACGTTCACGATTTGCGGTCGTTTAAACTGCAGGGGGAACGAAGTTGCGTTACTTTGAAACGCTTTGAAACGAAAGGGACGAGCGGAGGAGACGAATTCCAATGTAAGGTGAAGGTACCATAAGCCTCTGACTAAAATATACATGTGTGTACTTTTTAAACATTTGTAACATTTGATGTTTTTGATATATATATATGTATTCCATTGGGCTGAAAGCCGAAATATCCGTCTCGAAAGGCACGTTTACCTCAATTTCGCGTCGCGTCGCGTCGCGTCGCCGCGTTTTCACCGAGACGCCCATAAGCCGTATTGATTGTGCGGCGGGCGACTGTCCCATCGCGCGCGCATTTTTCACGGCTTTTTAAAGTCGCTAATTTTAAACGCGACGGGGTTTCTCATGTCGCGCTTCGCCTCGCGGACGGCACGAATAAGCGCGGATAAGCCGTGTGCCGTCGCAGCCCCGCGAATATTCCGCGCTGTGACAGAGACGGGATTTTAATGGAATCGCTTTAATAATTCGCGCGTGCGAGTACGCAACAACGGCTCGTATGTGTTGCGTACGTATGTGCGTACCTGTCAATAAGTCGCGCAGTAGAATCGCCGTTTCTGCTCGTCTCAAGCGGCGCGGCGGGAGGAGCGCGCGCTTTGACGCTTGTGTTAACATGTCTGTTAACAAAAATCCGCACGTGTCCGGCGCGCGTCTACGGGATCACGTCTTCGTACGTACGCACGCACTATCATCCATCTATCTGCCTTCGAGCTGCTCTCGGCGAACGTGCGTCGCCCTTATCGCGCTCGTGACGCGACGCGAGTCGGAATTCGCGCTTCGGCGCTCTTCGCCCGATTATTTTCAATTCTATTATCGAAGTCGTATCGGAGCCACTTAATCGCGCTCCGCCGTGGCTTCAGGAGACTATCCGGCCTTCGATAATCCGTAATCTGTAACTTCGATCGAAGGTGACCGCCATGTGTGGTCGGGAGAGACGTTCGTCGATAAATCGGCTTGCACCTGCGGGCGCAGTCTATTTCGAACAAATGCGACTCCTCGACCCGGCTTTGCCGTCCTCGAGCCCCGTTTTCGCCTCGATTTGGATCCGAGCCTCGCGATCTTTCACTTGAAATCACCCTCGTCGGCTCGCGTCGTTACGTAAACGGTTACGAGGACCTGCTTACCGCGGTGTCGAGTATCGTACCTGAGCTCTCCAACGACTTCCTTCGTTACTTTATCGCCGAGACGCAGGCTATCGTCGCGGGGGCGACCGCATCTAATTACACGCGGCGCGGCGCGGCGGTCTGACAAGTTGAGGTAAACTGCACTTCATTCCGCGAGTGACTCATTCGCTCGGCCTAGCCGTCGCCGAACGGTGAATGATTATTCCGCCTGTGTTCCCCCTTTGCGCTTCTCTCCTCATTGTCCTCTCGCGCGCGCGCTCCACTTATTTGCGCGTCGCGAACGCGACTCGCGCCGCGCGCGGCGCAATAACAAACGCGCGAGCGTCGCGTCGAGCGTCGCGGTCGAGCGCGACGGAAAATCAGCGGAGCGACGCGATAAGACCCGCGTGGGCATTTCCGATACGTTCGTCAGCCTTGGGCGAAATTTCATCGGGTTCGCGGCGGTGACTCATCACCGGCGCTCGTTACTCCAGGAAATTACGTGGTGTATCGCCGCTCGAGTCGATAAGAATTTACGCGGCGTATCTCGCGGCACAGGCCGGCGACGAAACACGATGCAACCGCACGTCGACACACGTCCACACACTCGGGGCGGTCCATCAGAAAGAAAGTATTCCCCGTATAACCCGATCGAGTAGGGAGGGGGGGGGGCGCCGTAAGAGCCGGAAGTCGCGGGTGTGTTGCACTTTGGCGAGTCCGCTCTCGCGAAATAAACGGGAACGAGCGCGCGTGCCGGCCGAGCGAATTCCGCTCGGCTCGGTCGCGCGATTCTTGCGAAATTTCTTGCGAATTTCGTCAAACGTGTCGAATACGTGTCTAAGCGAGTTTCACTTGGCCGAGCAACACCGAGTGGAATTTTCCGGCGCGCGCGCGCGACAGTCCGGAGACACGTCGGCGCGCAAATTGCCCGTCGTTTTTCCCGCTTCGGCGAAACTCGTCGGAGGGAGTCCGGCGCGACGATCGAAACGAATGGCCGCACGAACGACGCCAGGAACTTTCGGCCGGGAGACGCGGTGGCCGTAAATATTTCCCAATGTCGATGACTAACGTCGCGGTCGGCGCGTTGCGTGCGACGCCAGGCATCGGTCTAGGCGTCGCGGCGCCTCCGTACCCTCCCGCCAGTCGGGTCGGTTGTTAGGCAGGGGAGGTGAGGAGCAGGTAACTACACGTGTATTTATGCGAGCCGCGAGCTCGTTGCCATGTGAGGCGTTCTATTTCAGCCCCCCTGTCACTGTCCGCCGCCGCCCGCGGCGGCGGCGGCGGCGGCGGCGGCGGCGCGTAAGCGAACGCCGCTTTCACGTGCGTGCTTGCGGCAGTACGGCGCGAAAGTGTAGGATTTTATAATTCACAGCTCCCCTTGGCCCCTCCCTGTCGGTATTAGGCTTCGCCGAAAATCGCCGTCTCCGTCTCGCGAGATCGAGATCGGAAGGAAAGCCTCGGCTGGCCGGCCAGCCGGATCGGGAATGACAATTTTCGAGGAGTGCGACCTCGCGCTGTCGCGCTGAGATGACGAATAATGACGGCTGTTATTATAATATCGCCAACAATGGCCGATAAACGCGAGCAGCGGGCTGGTGTCGAGGTCGAAAAATATATCGGCGATTTCCAATCTGCCCGATCTGCGTCCTCGCGACCTCCGCCACAGTCACCCGTAGTGCGTACCTTGAAAGTACTTTAGATTTCTCTTCGAAATGCCTGACGCACGTTAATCGGCGACACTTAACGAACGTGTTCCTTTTTCTGCCCCTTGCAGCGGCTTGAACTTCCAAGATTTGATGGCCAGGCAAGGGGCGATTGATTCGCCCCCGAAAACTCCGTTCATCATGGGCTCGGAGTGTGCGGGCGATATCGAGCAAGTCGGCGAGGGAGTCGAGAACTTCAAAGTGAGTATAACTTTTAATGAATCTGATTACGAGTGCGCAAACTTAAATTGTAAACAAGTCCGTTGGCCCGAGTCCCGCGCATTCGTAATCTTGTTACAAGGCGTAAACTGTATCGACGAACTGCGCTATGAAATTGCGCGCGCGCGCACATATTGTCGCTCCTCCATACTCTTGATCGAGAGACGAACACAAGATCGACGGTTGCTTCATAAATAATTCCTGATGTCACCGACCGGCTGGTAATTTCCAAATGCGTGCAGTCGAATTACACGGCGCTTCCTCGCCGCGATTTCAATCGAGTAAAATTCTCTACGAGCTGCGCAGAAGCTAACAGATAGGAAGCGCTCTCTCTCTCTTTCTCTCTCTCTCTCTCTCTCTCTCTCTCTCTCCTTCTCTCTGACCGGCGAATGCTGTCTGGTAACGCGCTAATCCAATTCACTCGGGACGATGGAGCCGCTTTTCGCATATTAAAATAGTGGTGGCCCTCTCGATATCGATCTTGAGCTTTGACGTCACTCTCAACTCCACGTTGAATTATTTCGGAAGCTCTCGAGGCGCGCGCGTTTCCACAGCCGAATTTAAGTGGCCCATCGATGAAACGTCGCGACAGCGGCTTTCCTTAGCTCCTCCGGTCGCGCTCCGTCCGCTTATCAAACCCGTTTATTAACCGTCCGCGCGCCAGAGGGAAAATTGGAGTTGCCGCGTCTTGTCGCGTGTGATTAAGCGAGTGTGATCACGGACGAGATTACTCGCTCGTTCGCGTTATCGCGCTTATTAACACGTTCGCGTCGCGCACGGGGGAGCCTCGGGATCCTCGCCGGAATTCGCTGGCGTTGCGAGCTCGTGCGCTTAGGGTGGTCTATTTTCGCGACTCGTGAAACTCTTTTCGAGGTCAGAAGGAGGCGGGCGTGCTCTCGAAGCGTTTAGGGTCGGATATTCGAGCAGCACGTGCAAAATCTGTCTCGTTAGGAAGAACGAGAGAAAGAGAGAAGCAGAAGGGAGAGACGTTTCTTTCGAGTCAAAGGGAACGGCAGCTCGCCCTTGCCCTTGCTCCGATTGCCAAGACGAATGCGTTGCGGGGAAGAAAGAGAAAGAGGGTGAGGAAGCTTAATTTAATAAGGGAGATCAACCTCCGTCTTCGGGGGAACCAAGCATATAACCGCCTCACCTTTCTACCACCGATAATCCCGTAATCGCATCTGGAAATATTTCCTGAAAATATGCTCGGAATTATCGTTCCCCTTCAAAAGGGCAAGAGAGCAAGACGAAACGCGAGAGAGAGAGAGAGAGAGAGAGAGAGAGAGAGAGAGAGAGAGAAAACCAGAATCCTTCGACTTGCCGAGTACACGTTGAAAATTCGCAAGTTGTCGGGACGCGAGAGTGATTTTCCACTTGGTAGCGCGTTATAAAATGTCGGTCTTCTTCTTCACTGACGACGGCTTTTCCTTCCTCTTTTTTTTTAACAGGTGGGCGATAGGGTGGTCGCCCTTCCCGATCATAAAGCGTGGGCGGAGCTGGTTGCTGTGCCGGCGACGTCCGTTTTCGCGCTACCACCTGGGATGAGCTACCTCGACGCGGCCGCCATCACCATGAACTACACCGTGGCTTACATTCTGCTGTTCGAGCTGGCTAATCTCACGCCCGGCAAGAGCCTGCTGCTCCACAGCTCCGGCGGCGGTGTGGTAAGTCGGCGGGATTGTTTCTTTCTTATTTGCGTTCCTGTCAGACAGGAGAATAGCGAGCGCGCGCTCGCGCAGGGTATCGCTGTCTCCGGGAAGATACGGCGAAGATGATGAATTGGACCTTTCAATTATATCCTGACTCTCTCCCCGTACGCTCAATCGCGAGGAGGGACGAGCGATGCTCGCGCGATACGTTCTATCGCGATTGTTGCGTTCGATTGCGCGCACGTAGTGCGTAGGTCGCGATGTTACACTTCGCTCTCTTTTATCTTCACCCTGGCCTTTGTTGCATACAAACCACCGCGAGTGGATTTCGATTGAGGAAAGATGACGTCGTCACGCGCGATCGCGCGCGTCACTCGTCGGGCCTCCCAACCGCGCCCTCTCCTTAGCTGCGTTGATTGTTATTACAGAGAATTGCGTGTTTGAATGTATGCATAATATTGTAATTGTCATCATCAACCATGCATGAGACGTTGGTTCGCAGCACGCGACTTTAATGGTCGTTCTCTCGGCGGTGTTAAACGCGCGCGTTATTATTATCGTCGCGCGTGTATCAGTTAATTTCGTTGTGCACGTGATTGTATTAATTTCCATGGCACAATGATCGTTGGCACGATGATGATCGCGTGGCCGCGACGATAGGGCGCTTTGAGGGAAGTGTTTAACCGACGGTAACGCGGCCTCATCAGCTCGGACAAGTCTACCATGTGCGCGCGCGCGCGCGCGCGCGTGAACGCGTGAATGTTTCGAAAGGATGCGCCGTCGTAAACGTAAACGCAAACGCAAACGCGAGACGCCTCACGGCGTTTCGAGTCCGATAAGTAGCGCTATTACGATCACGCCGGCTGAATTGTCGAGTAACGAGCGCTATTAGCATTGTACTTGCACACCGCTAGAGAAACCGTTTTATGGGAAACCGCCGCTCATAAGTCAAGGCACCGGCACTTGCGATGTTTTTTTTCACGTCAAACCCGTTACGCCTACGTTTTAGCGCGTGGTTAACGGGGATTTGTCTCGTGCGACACGGGGAATGAGAGGAAGAGCGACAGGGAAAGACAGCCAGAGAGAAAGGGGGCTCACCGCGAGGGCTTCGCCCTAAATAAAATCTCGTGAAATAAATATTTGAGCGCTCCTCCCCTCTGTGTGCACCGAAATAAAATCGCCCCGCGTTCTCGCGCGGCAACGTTACTGAAATAAAATTTGCCGGGCGTGTTTGTCTACTCGCCGGAGAGCAGTTTAAATCTGTCCGACGACGGGGTCGAGACATTAGACATCTATGGGGTGCGAATGTTGAAATTTCATAAGAGCGACGGTGCGAGGATCAATGGCGAGAGAGAGAGAGAGAGAGAGAGAGAGAGAGAGAGAGAGAGAGAGAGAGGGAGGGAGGGGAGGAAGAGAGAGAGATAGGACGTGGTCGAGAAGGTTAAAGCACCAAGGAGATATTTCCGGGTTCTTTGGCCATTGGGGTAGTCTCTCTCTCTCTCTCTCTCTCTCCCTCTCTCGATTCGTCGTCGGCGACGACGACGACGACGACGACTACGAGGAGGAGGAGGAAGCGAAGAAGGAGAAGAAGAAGGTAGGACCGTCGGGATCAATACGGCTCAACAGGTTAAACCCGGAGCCAACTACTAGCAAACCACCCCCGCGCCAGCCATCCTTTCCTATCCCCGTCAGACGGTTGAGACGAAAGGCGAAATCTACGGGGGATGCTGATGCGGATCGTACGGGGTATGAGGGTTGCCAGGCAACCTTTCGCTCTCTCATCGACCACCGTCATGGGCCGCGCCCGTCTGAGACCATACCACCACCACCCCTGCCGCCGCTGCCGCCGCCACCACCACCACCATCATCACCACCACCACCATCACCACCACCACCACCACCACCACCATCACCACCACCACCACCACCACCATCACCACCACCACCACCACCACCACCACCACCACCACCACCACCACCACCACCACCACCACCACCACCACTACCACCACTATCACCGGCATGTTACCACCACGTGGCGGCCTTAAGCTCCTTTCACACCGTGTCGGCATACCGTGTGCCACGTGTACGAGCGGATGACAGCCGGTAGACGCCCCGCTGCAGTCACGATGTTTTATAGAAGCGCTTAATTAAAGACAACTTCCGGGAACTTTGTGTCGAGTGGCCGAAGAGACGTTTTCTCGCCAAGTGCGAGATAATTGGACGTAGTAGTTGCGCGGCCGATGGAAGCCACTCAAGGACCTAAGTACGACGTGCACTTAGGCAGAGGAGAAATGTATTTCTTGCGCGATCTTGTAATAAATTACATTACGGCAAATCGTCACGATGGACGAACGCGCGCGTTATCGAACGAAACACGTCGAGTGCCTCGTCATTTTCTCGTCTCCTTATTACGTCTTCCTCGTCCTGACCGATTATCGCCTCCGCGATTTCGCACGCAAAAATATACGTCTGGAATTCGCAGCCGCGTCGCTATAAGCCCTTGCTGCTCTCTACTCTGCTCTTCACGGGAGCGCACTTTATTGCACACACTGTCCGTACTTAAAATAGAGAAAGACGAGATAAAAGAAGCGCGGCCAAAACGCAGCCGAGACGACCGGGCCTCGTGCGTCGCTCAGGGCGGCTACAATTTTGGAACGTTATTATGCCGGGATTAATAGCTGGCTTCAGCTTAAACGTTTCTTCATTTCTTCTCCTCTTTCTCCTTCCCCCTTCCCCCCCTCCCTTCACAGTAGTCCCTAGGCTCGTTCTTTTTCGAAGATCTTCCTCAACCGCTGCATTCTGGAGCATCAAGTTGGAGCGAGACAAGCGTATCTTGTCTCACTTCCAACTCATTGCACCAGTTGTGCAGCAGTTCAGCGAGTTCTTCGAAAAGGAGCCGACTACTAGTTGCGGAAGACAAAGGACTAGTTGAGCAGGAAGGTTAAGGTCGGCCGACACCGTTCCGTGAAGGCGAGCCTTTCGGCGTAACCGCCCAGTTAAAGACCGTCGCGTTAATAATGCCGAGTAACAATCGAAAGTGTTCTCGTCAAACGAGCGAACATTTTTGCTAAATTCGTGTTCTCTCGTACGGAGTCGGCCACTTCGAGCGGGAATATAAAAGCCCCTCGCGCCCTCCTTCGCTCTTCACAAAGAAGGGCGGCGAGGCGGCACGGGAAGAAAGAGATATGACGCGATCCGTCCGAGAGATTCAAGGTGAGAGAAAGAGGGAAAGTCTCTCCGACGTGATCAGAAAGCGCTATTTTTCACGCCGAGTGCTCTTCCGCCGGGCGCTTTTCTGCCCTACGTGACCGGCTTCCTCGGCGGCTCTTCCTCTCCTTCCCCGGCGGCTAATGCGCGGAGAATCGGCCGCGAAAGTGTCCGGTTTTCGCGCGAACGGAGCCGCGTTTTTCCTACCTCGCGGAGCCCCATTGTTGTCGCGCCGGGGCATGAATTATCACCACCTCTCCACGCTCTCTTATTCTCCGAGGAGCGTAACGGACGAGGGATGAGCGCGCGGCACGGGGCGACATTATTCCTCGAGTCCCGGTTAATATTTAATTAAGTCATTGTGTTTGCGCGCGAGGAAAGAGACAAGTTTTTCCGGCGAAGCTGCAATACGTTGCATGAATCGCGTTGCTGCAAATCGCATCTTAAGACGATGTCCCGTATGTAACTTTTTCTTCTTCCCTCTCTTTTTAATATCGTGTAATCATCCTTAGACTCATGAATATACACGAGCGCGTGATAATGGTGTGGAAACGACGACGGGGTTTTTCAAAGGCGCGCTGTGGCGGCGCGGCGACAGTAATTATTGAAAAGCTGAAATACACACTCGGCGTTTTTTCTCACCTACATCATTTTCACACGCGTCTTTCGTGATGCGTACAATTTGTTGCGGCTGCTTAAGGATTCCGGATCGTCCGTCCTCTCTCTCTCTCTCTCTCTCTCTCTCTCTCTCTCTCTCTCTCTCTTTGTTTCTCTCCTCCTCGTCCCCCCGCCATCTCGCTGTATCTTTCTTCCTCTTGGCTCGTCCTTTTTTTCTCATTTACGTTCTTCCTCGAGCCCGGAGTGCTGCCGCTCGCAGCATCGCCGGCCGCTGAGTATCGAATTCTCTCGGCGGAGGAGGCGGAGAGAAATGGAAAGCAACGAACGCGATTCTTGGAAATAATGTATGCCGCTTCTGTTGAAAATCTCGGACGACTACAGCACGCGGGGAGGGGGGGGGAGACTCCTTCTTTTTCTCCTCTCTTAATCCCGTCTCATCCTACCTCCGGGGCGTAGCTCTCGCACGACGCGACGACGAGTGTGTTCGGCGAGCGTAGCTACATTTTCTCGGCAAAAAGTAGACTCTCGCATCGTGAAAGGACGGGCGACAAGTGGCGATAGACTTTTTAACCTCGTAGCTCTCTTTCTTTCCCTTGAGCGAAGCGCTAAAAATCGGCAAGCACAGAGAACGCATTATTCTTTTTCTTTTTATCGAATTTAGGGCCAAGCGGTGGTCCAGCTGGCGAAAACCGTGAAGGACGTGACCATCTTCGGCGTCTGCAGCAAGTCCAAGCATGAAGCTCTCAAAGCCGCCGGAACCATCGACTATCTTCTGGAGCGCGGCACGGACTATAGCAATGAAGTCCGAAAGTACGTAAATGATATCGCGTATGACGGCTGGGCAATCTGGGAGGAAGAACTTTGCGAATGTCTAACGCGCGTCTCTTTCAGAATTTCCCCCGAAGGCGTGGACATTGTCTTGGATTGTCTGTGTGGCGAGGAATGTAACAAGGGCTATGCCCTCTTGAAACCGATGGGCAAGTACATCCTTTACGGATCCAGCAACGTCGTCACCGGAGAAACCAAGAGCTTCTTCTCCGCAGCGCGATCAGTACGTAATCTTTCATGCCTGACGAGAGATCTTGTCGAGAGCTTTGACGGGTCTCTTTTTCGGGTCGGTTCGTTCCTCTAAATATTCTTTCGTCGCGTCTCTCTCCTCGACAATACTGACGCACGTTTTATCATTTCTGACGTTCTCAGTGGTGGCAAGTCGACAAAGTGTCGCCTATAAAGCTGTTTGACGAGAACAAGACATTGTCTGGGCTGAATCTGCGCCACTTGATGTACCAGCACGGCAGTCACGCGTTTGTGCGACGGGCAGTGAATCAAGTGTACACACTGTGGAGCGAGGGCAAGATTAAGCCGACGGTGGACTCGACGTGGGCGCTGGAAGACGTGCCCGAGGCCATGCAAAAAATGCACGATCGCAAGAACATTGGTAAGATCGTTCTGGACCCGAGTTTGGAGCCAAAGCCCAAACCAGCTACACCGGCTAAAGGCAAGGCGAAGGACAAGAAGGCCGCGAATCAGGAGGAGAAGAAGGCGTCTAGCGTAGAGTCGGAGGAGGGGGAGAAGAAGAAGGAACCGGAATTGACAAACGGCACCTCCGAAGACAAATCTGATAGCGGTAAGGATCTGAGAGTTCTTGGTCGCGTTATTTGTTGCATCGTTTGAAAATGAAAGAGAAGGAGATGAAAGGGAGAAGCGCGCAACGTGTCTAATAAGACTCGCTCGTATCTTTTGTTTCAGATTCGAAAGAAAAGGAATCTAGCTGAATTAGCAGTAGTAACTAATCCTATAAGACAGAAAACTGATGCCCACAAACATCAAGAATTTCCAGGAAAGTACTAATACTGAGAGACGATCCATCGTTGTTGCCCGAGAACAAAAAGAGAAAAAAAAAGAAAGAAAAAGAAAAAAGAAAAAAGAATTGAATTCGACCCGAGACTAATCATCAGTGGTATCGCGCAAAATTTACATGCAGATGAACCATAACGAGATAATTATGATTCATATCGCACGATCTAACAATTATAACGCGCGGCAGGGTAATCTTCGAACGTGGTTGGCCTGTCTGCCATACGTTGAGACGGAGTCAACTGACGTTGACGTGGTTTCAATTTAGCGAGGTAATCGATCGCTTACGCTGCAAAGTACACTTCCTTTTTTCCCTTCGCGTCCCTTTCACGGGCGCTCTTTTCACCGTTTGTCATCTGCATGTGTCCATTCTCCTCACATTTGCGCCGAGATAGGAAGGGTTCACGCGAACCACGAGCGGAGCGAAGCGACAGCGTGTCGTGTGAGAACGAGAGAAGCAACCAAATAGAAGTAACAATCTTGACGCGGTCCACAGTAGTTTACAGAATATAAGAACGTTATGTTTATTTTTTCACACCGACCAAATGGTTAATTTTGCGAGGAGTTGCGTGAACAGCTGTTGGATATCAGATAATCGTTAAGCAGCTCGGTTCCTTTTTCCTCTTACTCAGTAACCGCTATTATTATATCGTCTTGAGGAAATGGATGCAACAGCCTTTCCGTACTTATTGTACTCTTGTCGAGCTTATGAGACGACTACGACGGGGAACGTGAGCTGTTTAATAATTGTAACGTTGTCCAATAGCTATCCACTTGGCTCTGTCTATTTGTATCAAATATTATCACTGCTACTACGGTATATACTAACATTCTCTTACACTAATATAATATTACCTCTATTTGTAATTTAATGGGATAAAATAACGTAATTCCGCTGAAGTCGAGTTTCCGTGGGAAAGCTATAAACGCGGAGCTGCATATTACTTTCATATGTAAATTTTATGTACCAGAGATGTTTTTACGCCACTTTATTATTCATCCTGACATTTTTGCCGGATGAAATATCCATTTAAATCTTGACGGTAACCATGAAAGTCTCGAGAGTGTAACATTTAGTATTACGTGTACGCGGCATTTCGCTGGGATTTGGACGCTTTTTTTCGTACTTTCATACTTGGTAGTTTTCGTGTAAGATTAATCGTAGGCTTCGGGGATTTTTCTACGCGACAATTTTGAAGGAGCGTCTGAGGTAATCAACTGCCGAACAATCGACTGCGTTCGGCGGTTTTCTAGATCGAAATTCTGCCTCCCTCTCCAAATCACGCGCACTGATTTTTAGCAACGATTTATATCAACGAGACGCTTTCGAAATGTTTGTAGCTAAGTTCTCGACGAAACGATCCGACGTGACGATGAACTCCTTCAAGGGCGAGTGCATCCGTTTGACCCGCGCTAAAAATTTCGGATGGCGATCGGATTCGATATCTAATTAAGAATTAACTGATATATAGCACGCGAAATAATTAAGTGAAAATCTAATTAGACTGATTAATTACGGCTTGAGATCTTAACAAGCCTATAGTGGAGAGACATTGCTCGGCACAAAAATGCTTTGAGAATGATCTTAGCGAATGTTGGCGTATCTCATTTCTATGCGGAACTTTCGAATCAGTTTTAACGGGAAGAAAGACGACGATCGAGGGCGTAAACGCTCGACACGATGACACAACAAATGTCTCACAACGTTTTTATTCAAATGATACGAATCGATGATGTACTTTAAAGGCTCCGAGTAACTTTATTGTTTAAATGAAATTTTATAAAACATATTTAATGACGTTGCATCAACATATGTACATGAAGAGTAATTTAACGAATTAGCGTCGTAGAAGCTTAAAGTATATCGCTTTCTCCGTAAGAAGGAACGACAGTTTAAAGGTAAAATACGCAAGGCCTCATTTTTTTAACGTCACACACACACTCGCGTGAATACACACAGCTGTGTCGCCTAGAGCCGAACGCGTGACTGCGATACGATAAAAGTTACGTTGAATCCGCATTGCGGTTTTTCCTCAAACTTTCGAACCTTCGCGTAAGATTTTCGACGACGGCCGCGACGCCGTGGTGTCTCGGCCGTTTCGTACGAATAATAGCAAGAAGGACGCGTTATCACATTAACGGTGATCTGTTGAGCGAGAGGGTTTCATAGTAATATAAACGAAGGAGCGAGGGATCCTCCCACGGGAGGATTTCAGAGGAGACGAGAGAATGAAAGAAGACAAGAAAATAAAGAGCTGAACAAAGAAAAAAAGATGAAAAGATCTCTCGAGGGTGTGTCCTCGACGGAACGCGGCTCGGTGGAGGAGCTGGCCGATGCAGAACAAAGTGCATATCTTTCCGGAACGTTGGAACAATTTTGGTGTAGCCGATTTCGTTAGGGTTTGATACTAGCTCTGTATACCGATATCTATATTATACAAATCACTATGCGAAGAAGAAGAGACGCGGACGAGGGGGAAGGTATGTGTCGACGATATATATCTCAGCGCGAACATCTCATCAGAAAAGGAGGGAGGGAGAGAGAGAGAGAGAGAGAGAGAGAGAGAGAGAGAGAGAGAAAGAGAGAGAGAGAGAGAGAGCAGGAAAGTCGCGAGGAGAGTCGCGCAAGAGAATTACTGCCGTATCGAATCTCTCGGTCCAAAAGTACATAGGATTGCTATCTTACTCATCAAGAAAACGTATCGATCCGAGGTAAAAGAAAAGAAAAAAAAAGACAAAAAAGTATACACGACAAAAAAAAATAATGCGAAAAACATGGTTAATGTGGCTACATATTTTGAGACATCTTTTAAACACACGTAAGACACACTTAATCCCGAGGTACACACGAGGTAACCGACCACACGAATACACGCCAGACACACGACGCCCACACACACTAGTAACGACGACACACATCATACTGTATATTTTATTGTACGGCTTTAAATGTTTCATCAAATAACTCTATTATATTATAATATATCTATATATTTGTATCGATCGTTTCCTCCTGCCCTGATTTTTCATCTAGGTCCGTATAGCACGAACGATCAGGAATGTTGCGAATCTTGCTACACGCTGTAGGATCGGGACGCGCGAGGGCTTCGAATGCACACGAGAGAAGGAGAGAGAGAGAGAGAGAGAGAGAGAGAGAAAGAGAAAGAAGGAGAGCAGCAACGTGTCTGCCCGAAAAGTCGATTTTGCGACGGAGAAATTGCATGTCGCACGAGAATAATTGGCGATATCGATCGAACGGCCGAGTTTTGAGCGAAAGCCCGAGCTACCGAAGTAGCGCTTTCGCCGGATGTTTTGCGCTCATTGCTTTCATCGTGGATCGGCCTCGTGGTCGATTCACAGCGAACGTCATCGTTTCGATACTTTCTGTACAACTGAAACAGTGTGTATCCATGTGCATTCTCGGTTATTTTCTCTCGACAGGAGGAAGAGGAGGCAGGGAGAGAAAGAGAAAGAGAGAGAGAGAGAGAGAGAGAGAGAAAAGATTTCGGATACTTTGCGCGTTCAAACACCCTCCGATTCAAAAGGCACAGCCCCGACGACGGGAACGCGAGTGAATTATTGATTTTCAATTATTCGCACATCTCTCAGACCGGAAACGTTTGCCTAAAGCGGACCCAAGCGAAAGAGCGATGGCGAAATTCGGCGCGCTATCTTCCCTTTTTGATGTCGCACGGTCAAGGTACATCCGTGAGAGACTGTCGCTACTTTAGACGAGTATTTCGCCTAGGAATGTCAAAGTCGCACGCACGCGAATATTGGCTGACGATCCGTCGTGGAGAGAGGATGCTTCTGTAGCTGTAGCTGACGGTAGACATTTCTAAGCGTTTTGAAATAAAGAGTGCATATTTATCGCGTCGTGTTAGCTAAACGTCCAAGTCGCGTTTGTAATGAATCTTATGAGACGATTTTCAACCTTTTCAACAATGACAATCCGCACAAATTAACGAACCGACGAGACGTTCGACGTAATATTTTATAAGAGTCGTCATCAGCGCGTGAGAATGACAATGAAAGAGAGAAAGAGAGAGAGAGAGAGAGAGAGAGAGAAGGAGAGTTTACTCGCAGTCGCTGCAGAAAAATAGGGTACGCGGCGGGAGTCCGTTTCCGAACTTTAGCTTGAAGTATAGTCGAATTCAAAGTATAGTTTCGCGAAGAAAGAAGGGCTCGTCGAGGCTAATTAAAAATGATAACCATTCCGTTGGTGCGATAGATAGATAGATAGAGAGAGAGAGAGAGAGAGAGAGCGAGAGGAGAGGAAATGAAAGAGAGAAGGCTACGCACGTGCGTCTTACTAGTTGCGCGAGTCCGTATCGTTAGAGAGAAAGAGAGAGCAGGACCTACAGTTTCACGAACGTGATACATTATAATTATGTGTAAAATTGTAAAATTCGTCGAGGGGTCCGGGCGAAAGTAAAACGCGCCTCTTCCCGCCGTGAGGTTCTCGCCGCGCGATCCACTTCGCCGAAGATGCTCACGAGAGAAGGAAAGAAGTCTTTTTGCCCGCTCCCCGCCAGGCTTGACATATAGATTGTATTTTTGGCTTATTATTGTAAGACTGACTATGTTGCTATATTAAAGATTGCTTCGAAAACAGGGCGACGAGACTTGACTGCATATTTTCTTCACCCCGCATCCTCCGATCCACGACCGTCTCATCCTTTCTTCCTGCTAAATGAGAAGCCGCTCTTCGGTCGGGGACATCGGAAACGACAAGTAAACCAGGTGACATATACGAAATCATCTCTTTATTGTTGATTCATATAAAGGTTAAAAAACTTAAAAATATATGTATGTATATTCAACGTGTGTTAAAATGTTGTCTTCGTTAATCTCTAGAGAAGAATTTGTCACTCGGCGCGTTGTGCGAGCAAAGATCGCGATCTGCGATCTTTTGTTTCTGTCGTTGCTATAAAGTAAACGCCTCACTTGTTTCGCTTCATGGACGGTATTTCGCGGCGTCACGCACACGTGGGTGCGATTTTAAAGGTCCGTCGTCGGTGTCGGTGTTCGGTTTCGTGTCAAAGAGTGAGAAAGGTCGCTGTGATCAATCGATCGATGTAATAAATAATTTTAGCGGACAACGCGAAGAGTTGCCGTGTGTGTACATGTGCGTGCAAATTGCGACGGTAACGTTCAAAGGCGGACCCTTAAAGCACCGGTGGCGCAAACGATTACGCTATATAACTACCAACTTATATATATATATATATATATATATAGATTTCTCTATATATGATTCATAAAGTCATATACATATTCAATACGTGCTACGTTATTAAAATAGATCTTTGACGTATCTTTCTTCTTTCTTGTTTCAACAGATACATATTTATATATGTAAATGTATATCTCTCGAGACACTAATTATTACGGGGACGCGACGCGACCTTCCGCTCCACGCGAATAATATGTATAAACAGGACGGCATCGTTGTCGCTCGATGTCGATTGCATCGAGCTGGAATACATTTGTGTCTCCTACAGTCTACTATTTACATACTTTGCCGATCGCACTAATGATGTGAATACGTGCGCGTGCATTTCCTTGACTGGTCCTTCGCAAAAATGGAATAAGATACGAGACGGAAACTAGCGCTAGAGTGTGAGAAATGTCAGCGTGTATTATGAAGGCACGATGTGCGAACGATTATTTTGTAAAATAGAATACGGAATACGAAATATCATGAGAGATGTTCGTGCAAGAACTTGGGACGGGAAACCATCGAGGGCGAGAAAGAAAAATAATTTTACAACTTATCGAAGACTCGCAACTACGCACGAGCGGTTGTTCTCGATTGTACTCGTACTCCTTTTCCTTTCAGCGACTACGAATACTTTTATCGTGATTATTTTGGTAATAACGGTCAACAGCGTAGCTGACGAATCTGCATGTAAAAGTCGCCGACCACGACTATTACGCCGGATTTGTACTTGAGATGCTTTGCCTCTAAGAGTACAATGCCCCCTTAACCGTGTAAATAACTTTAACTGCTTTCTTCTAAGATTTAAGAAACGGGACGGACAATAGAGTATTTCTAAAAATTAATAATAATAATCGTTATAACAATATTAAAGTCGCGCGTGTCTGTCGCTCGAAGTTCAGTCGATATTCTCGAGAACGATCACTTTCGATACCGTGCAGTCTCATAATACGATGCAAGAAGTTTGTGCGTTTTTTCGCATCTAAAAATAAATACGTTATGCTTCTCTGTTGCTAATTATCCTCGTTTTGCTTTTTGGGCAGGCAGATGAATGAGAATACAAATTGTTCATCGCTGACAATACAATCTCCTGGCATTTTGTCCAAGTGAGAAAATTAGGTAACTTAAGGACACCTCGATAGGCGGAAGATCTCGATATTCTCTCTCTTTTTTTCTTTATGATTTAGCAGCTATAATTAGACAGATGAATTTTAACTGTTTAATTGCCAAAATTAATGTTATGTCATTTCATAACATAAATCATTATTTACCAAGTCTTAAGTAACCGACAGCATTCTGTTCAAACAGGATATCCGGCCTTATTATATAAATATGGCAATTTAATGATTATGTTTCCAAAAATATATCATTATATTAGTTTTATATAGCGTCTAAATTCCTTTAAACAACCATCGAGATCTACAATCTAATAACAAGGTAGCGATGCACTTCTACAACTATGAAAATTAAATTCGCTTAAAGTGCCTGTGTGTGTATGTGTGTGTGTGTGATCTCCACTCTATTCCGTACGATCAAATATTAATTTCAATTTCAAAAACAAAATATACTAACTAGTTGATTTTAAGATTATTTTTGTAGCATTTAAGATTATTTTTGTGGCATATCGAGATCTTTCTAGATTATTTCTGTATTTTAGATATATTTTAGATGTATTCTAGATTATTTCGTGTAAAAAGGCACTGAAATTTAAAAATTATGACACATATATAAAACTATGTGTGCGACTTAGATCTTCGATGTTACAACATTATCTGAGAAAAAATTATCAAGAAACGACTAAAATAACTCGCTGAAACAACTAAAAAGAATTATATCTATTGGACGAAAAGTATAATTAAGATTCAATAATTAAGATAATATGATTAAAATTCGTAGTAACGTGTCGAATGTTATTAAATGACATAACGTTAATTTTGGCACAGTTGAAATTCATCTGTCTAATTATAGCTGCTAAATTATAAAAAAAAGAGAATGTCGAGATCTTCCGTCTATCGAGGTGTTACCCAATTTTTTCACTTGGACAAGACGCCAGGAGATCGTACTGTCAGCGGTGAATAATTTGTATTCATTCATCTGCCTGCCCAAAAAGCAAAGCGAGGATGATTAGCAACAGAGAAATTTATTTATTTATTTTTAGATGCGAAAAAAACGCACAAACTTCTTGCGCCGTATTATGAGATTGCACGGTATCGAAAGTGATCGTTCTCGAGAATATCGACTCAACTTCGAAGGTTGTAAAAGTACATCGCTACGTTGTCATTAGATTATAGATTTCGACGATCGTTTAAAAGAGATTCAGACGCTATATAAAACTGATGCAATGATTTTTGGATATATAATCATCAAATTGTCATAAAAGAACATTTACATGATAAGACCAGACGTCCTTTTTTGAACAGGATATTGTTCGTTACTAGTATAGGGCTTGATGAATAATGAATGATTAATTCGTAATAACGTGTCAAATTCATCATATTACCTTAATTATTCTGAATCTTAATTGTTCTTTCCGTCCAGTGGATATAATTTTTTGCAATTATTTCGGCGAATCATTTTAATTTCTTTTAGCAGTTTTTTTTTTTCAGGCAATACTTATGGTAACATCAAAGATCTAAGCCGCACATACATAGCTTTATATACATATACATATTTTCATATATATATGTATATAAAAGAATAATTAAGATTCAGTCATCTATCATCTTCTTCCAAGATCAATTTTTTCTTTTTTCAAATTAGATGTTGAAATTTGCAAACATGTACTCGTACTCTGATTATCATGCCGTTCGATGTTCGTGCTCCGTCAACGGATACGGATCATGACGACAGAAACGGACGTGTTGTGCATCGAACGCTATTACCTTTGCGCACACAACTGCTAGCCGTCGTTGAATTGCTGCGTTCGGAAGTACCTCGTTATCGTGACGACGAGCGACGCGATAAGCAGGAAACCTGCCGGCGTGGCCAGAAGCGTGGCTGCGTTGTAAATTGGGCAGTATGGGCATTGCGAGCTACCACAGACCTCGCAGATATTTAACGTGTATGTAGGCAGTGCGTCGAATATAGACTCGTTGAAGCGTTCTGAAACGAGATTGCCCGTCTCTTAGAATTACATGTCAATAGTACTGAATTATCAAGCATTTACCAATTACAATTTTATTGCAGCAAGCTAACGTACTTTACGTACGTTAGCTTGCTGCGTGACATGTTTTCACGTACCTGGCGCGTAGTAGTCGTAAACGCGGATGGCGAGATATCGTGACATATTGGCGACTGGGTACCAACGTTCCACCGTAAGATTCACGCACGTCTCTTCGCTGTCCAGATAATCGAAATAGAAGAGCACCTTCTTTTCCTGGAAGCGTGCTCTCTGCAGATTCCTCACGCGCCTCGACAGGATGTACTGGTCCAAGTTTTGCTGCTGGATTATATAGCCGGTCGGTATGCCAATGTCTAGCACCGCCATACCAGAACGTGGGGATTCCTCGGTGTTGGTCCACCTGTGTAGAAAGTAACGAACGCATTTTCGACGGATGCGAAAGCAACACGAAGAGGCCTGGCGACTATCTACAATGATCCGTAACCTTACCTTTGGCAACTAATATACGATATGTGAGATTGATTTCTGCCGTGGAAATTCGCTCTGGTCACTAGGTCGAAGGCTTTGATCGGCGGCATCGTTTGGAACCTTTGAATGTCGACGTTGTATTGCACGGTCATCTGCAGGATAGCGTAACCGGCGCCTTTACCTTCCACCTTCACAGTACCCCACGCTTCCGGTATCTAGATGAAATTAGCAATTACATAGGAAGAATAGAAATGACCTCAAAGGTACTTTGAGACGCTTACTTCGATGCTCTGGAGCTTCGCCAGGTTCTTCTCATTCACGACCAGAGTTTTCGTTTGTCCCGGTAGAGACGTAGCTTCTATCGTCATGGTCAACGAACTTACGTCCCTGATTCTCGACCTCACGGTATATTCCATCAACGCCTTAATGGACCAAACGGTATCCTGCGTGGAAGCCCACCCGCCGTCTGTCAGTCTTTGCGTGTTCAGCCACTTGACTATCGACTCTACATTGGTTTCTTGTCTAGCGACGTGTACGAGAAGAGCGTACGCGGTCGTCTCTATGTTCTCCGCGTCGTACTTGAAGGGTAAGCGCGGCAGCAGGAAGGGCTTCTGATTCTCCGTCTTGAAGGTTTCAACTTTCACCGGTTCTCTACCCCAATATGTGAAGCCGCTTTCGGAGCGCTTGTGCTTTGTTAGAATTCTGAAGGCTAACTCGGCGGTCGCGGCCTTCGACACCATGAGCGCGTAAGCTACTATGGCTATCTCGTAGGGGTTGCCCTGCGTCTCCAGCATATTCAGGTTCCTCTCGAGGAACTTGACGGCGTTGGCCGCGCTCAAGGCCACTTGGGACCCTAGGCCGCCTGTGAGATCCTTGACGCTCTCGAGGGTGATAAGTACGTGCGCTGTGAGACTGATGTTCTTGTAATTACCATACTCGTCCGTCAGCGTGCTGTTCATCTTCCGGTCCGGTAACCAGGTCACCTCGTAGAACGCACCATTCGGCGTCTGGTGCTGGAGTATCCACGAGACTGCCTGCGCGATCACTTCAGGATCGATGTACAGAAAATTCTCCCACTCGTAGAAGCTAGCCTCTTGGAAGATCCGTGCGCAGAACGCCGTCAGCCAGACGCTCGGCTCAGATTGATTCCAATCGGTGCGGAAGAAGCTGAACGACCCGTCGGGATTCATGAACGACAATTGCCGTTGGTAACCGATATTCATGTAGTAGAAGCTCTGTCTCTCTTGACGCTGATTGCGCTGGTTGATCAAACGCATGTACAAGGTGTTGTACATGTTGGCGGCGAAGCTGAACATGTTCTGCTCGGCGCAGTCCATAGGCAGATGCATGAGACTGGTCGCGTTCACCGGCATCGTCGGGAAGATCGGCCCCACCACGTCACCCACAATGCTGACAGTTGCCTTGTTGGAGCCGAACACGTAGTAACGGTTCTCGTCGTATGGTATGATGGGCGTCTCCGTGACGTTGACGTGCAAGTAATGGAATACGAAGGCACGGTTACTGAGGTCCAACAGAATCGACTGGTGCCGATACTGCGGCACCCCGTCGGCCTCCACATGCAGCGTGCGAGTCACCGAGTCTCTGCCGACCAGAGTGGTCGCATACACGTGTACCTGGATGTCACCGAGTCTCACCGGCACGATAGGTAGGTAAACGATAGCAGCGTCTTGCGCGGGTATCCAGATGAAGAACTGGTGCTCGCCGAAGGAAGTGCGCGGCTTGTACGACTGCACGATGCCGTTGTCCTCCACGTGGATGAATTTGTAGTCCTTGGAGCCGGCTAAGACCACCGTCGCTTCGATGTTGTAGCACATGTAGTTGAAGACAGACACTCGGATGCCGATTTGTTCGCCTTGTCTACTGTGGCTCGGCATCTCCACGTTTATGTAGAACGGCAACACAGCGGTATAATCGAGCGCCTTCGTCAGCATACCGAAGCCGATGCTGGGCGACATGCTGAACGCGGTGATCATCCAGTGGACCGGCCTGCGCGGCACGTCAATGTTGAAGATTTGCCTGCCGTGCGGCCCAATATTGATGTCCTTCCACAGCCAGACGTTCTCGTAGTGCCGTTGGATCCGGTTGAACCGCCACTTGCGGAACAACGCCAGGTCAGTGGCGTTCCGCTCGACGCAACGCGTCTCATCGGTGCCGTCCTCGCAGTCGAATATCCCGTCGCATCTCTTCTCCAGCCGGTAACATCGACCGGACAGGCACTCGCCGTATCCTTGAGTCCGATTGCAAAGATCGGCTCTGCGGTATATCAGTGTGTCCGTGAAGACTACCAGGCCGATGTAGTCGAACGTACGATTGGCGTCGATGCCGAAAGTGGACGATGGATAGTAGACGACTTCGTCCGGGTCACCGTCGTGGTACTGCCAAGTGTGCAAGTGGGTGCCGTTGGTCTCCTCATCGAAGTGCGCCATTTTCGTGATGACGTTCGCGTACGACAGCTCGTTGCCGGCCTGCATGGTGTAGAAGGAACGGTCGATGCCTGACAGTCCCACATAGGCACCGGGTTCACCGTAGATGGCCACCTCGACTGACTCCCCTGTCCTCGCCTTCTTGTTGTTGATGAACACGGTGAAGTTATTGCGCGAAATGCCGTTCACCGGGAACGTCAGCGAGTCCACTACCACCTCGCCGTAGCGACCTATATAGTACACCAAGGCGGTCGCGACCGGGGCCATCTCTGGGCTCAGGGGGATCGCGAAGGTCGTGATGCTGTGCTGCATGTTATCTTCTCCGGTCAACAATATTATACCCTTGGACATGATGATGTAATTGAAGGTGTCGATGTGGAAGTTGGTCTGCACATGGAACACCATGTACTCGCCGACTTTGGGATTCTCGGTGGACGTCGAGATCTTGATGTGCTTCAAATTCGGTGACTCATGAGCGAGCATCAGCAACTCGGTGTGCGCTCTATAGCCCTCGCCATCGGTGATGTGCGCGAATACTTTCATAGACACGATTTCGTTCAACACCTGATTAGCACGGTCAACATCGTTCTCCAGCCTGAGCTGTTTTCGCAGGTCCATCTTCACGGACCAGATGCCCTCGTGCTCAGAGGACGGTTGGAGATACTGGGTGTCGATGTTGCGACGTCCGCTGCGCGTCTCGATGTCCGCACGAATCTCCATCACAGCGTTCCTGAGCTGCGTGAGGCGCAGTGGCGAGTTGTCGTGGAAAGACGCGACTAGGTTCAGCGTGAACGGCATCGCCGGCTTGAATACTTGCGGACTGCCACCGAGGAAGCGCACCTTCGTGGTGGAATTGAAGATCCTCGCTGTGGAATAGCCGACAACCACCTCGTCCAAGAATCTCTCGCCCACCGTCGCGACCACGGTCACCTCCATGCCGTCGATGGATGTCGCGAAGTTCAATAGCTCATGCATGGGATACTGGAAGTGGTACGTGCCGTTAAAGAATCTCAGCACCGGCACGTTCTCCTGGTACAGGTTGAACGTCCTAAACCAGGACGGATAGTACTCGTTGAAGTTGAAGTACCTATCGATCGGCTCGATCGCCATCGCAGGATTGCGCGTCTTCTCGAGCGGTTTGAAGCTGGCTTTCAGGGTCAAGTTACCTCTTACCGGCGCCCCGGACGTGTAATTCGCCTGGACAATGCCGTAGATGTAGGGGTCGTTGTCGAAGAAGAACGCTGGCATCGTTACATTCACCTCGAAACGCGTTTGATAATATTCCTCTACGAGGAACGTCTTTTCCTCGACTTGGTTCTGCGCGATCACCTGCACGATCCATTCGCCGAATACCGGTTGATCGGACAAGTGATACGACAAGGACACGGTGCCCAGATTGCTCTGTCTGCTGAGCCACCTTCTCATGATTCTTCTGTGCGGGTCCAGCATGTATACATCCACGGGATTGTTGTAGGCCTTTAATTCCGTATCTATCGGGATTGTCCTAAATCGCACCATCTCACCCTGCATATACACCGGCTTGTCTAACTGTATAAAGATAGTCATGGAACGCTGGGAGAATATCAACTTGGTTTCATTCAAGAAGGCTTGGCCACCTTTTAAACTATTGTACATCCCTTCTATGCGTAAGTTATAGTTACCACCTACAGAAGTAGGTGGCATACGCATCATTAGAGTTTCTGGTATGCCCTCTTTCACCTCTTGATAATCTGCTGCAATTTCCACACCATTGCGCTGGATAGACGAGCGTACTGTCATAGGCAATGGACTGTGAAGAATATTTACAGCAATGCGATACACTTGATCAGGTCTGACCATGCGAGATGCAACTATAAAGTATGTGCTGTAAGTGAAAATTTCTTGTTACACAGAGCCTCATCTGATAATTTCATTCACAACTAGTATCTATTTATAATGTTCAGGATATTCACTCAGGATACTCACGCTTCTTTAATTATGATATTTTCATTTGGACCAGTAGGGTTTTTATATCCAAAGCCTACATTTGGATTCTGATCCCAGTCATCGTATCGGTTCCATGAAGGAGTCCTAAGAGTAGATTCGGTGGGTTCTTGGGTGAACTGGCCATCTCCAAAAACCAGGAGTGATAAGAAAATCCAGATGAACATTTTTCTACAATACACATGTACGCATAAAACATTATCTGCATTTTGTGAAAAATATCAAAGAATATTGCCTCAAAAGATGATTGTTCGCACATTACATAAAGAAACAGAGCAATATATAAATATGAGGTTCAGTGAAAGTTAATTATACAAATGCCTCTACTAAAAACTCCATATTTACGAAGGTCTAACAAACAGATATGATTTTCGACACGCCTACTCGTCACCTCTAATTGGTTCTTCGTCACCGTCTATTGATGGTACGTGTAAAGCTTGTCAAATGCAGCTGACTCTTTAAATGAAATAAACGATACCACAGCTTGTACGGTAGAGCTGGCTTGTCGGCGACAATCGTCGAATTCAATGCGCTAAGATTCACGCGCAAATACAATGACAGAACGCGCGGGGTTATACCGCGCGATGGTCAACGCCCAACGCGCATTCTTCGAATCGCATGTGTCATCGGCACTCACCTGAGAATCACGATTTACTGATCGAGATCGCGTATCACAAGCAACCGCGCACGATGAGCATCACCGTGGACGTAAACGCGCACGCACAAAGAGAAATATTAAAGAGCGATACTGGCTACGAGCATCGTGTAATGATTCGCCAGTAGTAAGGAGTGGCCCGTTACAAACCCGTGTTTTGCCGTTGATGATGCGCGAGACGCATTCTAGATCTGAATGTTCACGAAGAATAAATAGCTAGTCCCAGCTAATGTCGCGTCATCTTACGTTCACGACTGGCAATCGAAACTCCATTAAAGCCCGTTCTACATTAGCCGCAAGACGCGGGCCATCTATACGCAACTTTACGTATACGCACGTTGCGAACGGTAAAAATGCGCATACGTTTCTGACATGGTATTCTTGAACTTAATTGTGTAGTATTCGCAACTAGAAACGTATACGCTTTCCGTTGCGTTTAATTACGTTTGACAACATTGGAAAATATATATACTTTCTGCAAATATCGACCAAAAATACGATACGACGAACTTTAATTGGCTGCGTTCAGCAGAACAAAGTGGAAAATATGGAACTAATATGGAAAAATCTTCTTGGTTCTTCCATTATTTCAGCATGTTCTAACGCATTTATAACTGGTATGTTTACTATTATATCGTCTAAATCCATTATTGTTACACAATTTTACTCTATAATTAAAATGCAGTGAAATTTATACGCTATTTTCTCTTAAATTTCGTATTGATTATTTTTCTTACGGATATGTAAAGTCAGCTATTATTTTCCATTCTTTTAGCCGTCTAAATTAAAGTTTTCGTCGATTATTATAATGTCACAAGAAAAAAGATCGACTGTGATTGGTTAGTTTTCTTACAACCTTACGGTTACGGTTAAAATTTTTCTACGTGTGATGGCCTTTAGCGTTGAATTAAGCCAGCGGCACACGGTGCTTGTTTTCGTGCTGGATTGCTTGCTGGATGAAAATACTGCGTTCTGATTGGTACATTTCCGAAGATGGATGGAAATGCACCAATCAGAACGCAGTATTTTCATCCAGCAAGCAATCCAGCACGAAAACAAGCACCGTGTGCCGCTGGCTTTATTCTTCTTCTAAAGCCAGCGGCATACGGTGCTTGTTTTCGTGCTGGATTGCTTGCTGGATGAAAATACTGCGTTCTGATTGGCGCATTTCCGAAGGGATGGAAATGCACCAATCAGAACGCAGTATTTTTACCTGCATTACATACGAGATTTAAAAACTGAATGATTCTCTTTTGATGTTCAGTCATCTGAATAAGAGATATTCATATGTACAAACGCGATACCGTCATCAGCTGCTTTATTTTTATTTTTCAAGCGGGTCGCAGAATTATTTAACGATTTAATTATTTGACAATATTCAATTGTCCGTGTAAAATATATTTATACGCATAAATGCAGATACTGTTGGCTACTTTTCTCTTATTTGCAAAACAGGCTATAGAATTATTTGGCAATATTGTCCATTCATCACGATCCTTATTGTCTCGAATAGTGTATAATGCGCGCAGAAATTACGCCACCGCACGCCGAGCTTGAGGTATCCTCGCTCGCGTGCCTTTGAATACCGCGGTAAAACTTTAATTTTAAGACTTAAATTCTCATTTCGCCAAAGTATCGCGAACATAAGCTTCGTCGTGACAGAGCTATAATGCGTGAAAACTTTGCCCCGCTCCTCTCTCTTTGCGCTCCCTAGGGGCGATCGGTTTCTGATTGTCTAATCATTGCTCGCGTGCATTCGCGTCGCGAATATTTCACTCGTAGATATCGATACTCCCACATTTTCGCGACTTTTCGGACGCAATCGCGAAAAGAGCCGTAAAAATCCGTTGGACGAGTCAATAAATTTTCACACGGTTCTTGCTCCTCGCCGATCGAGTTTATAGAGTCGGTTTCGCAGCGCGCAAAAAGTTTCCACCGATGGTGAGTAAAACGTTCGTTAATTGACGCAAATATCGCCGTTCTAATACCGCGTATCGACCGCGTCGCAGAAGTGTGATGAAAGTGTAGCAATCAACGTGGGACACGCTGCAAGATGGATGTTGCGCGACATGGAGAGCGGCAGCGGACATGGGCGGACATTGGTGTATCTGGTTGGATGCAACAGGACATCATCAATATCATCATCGGTGAGTGCCTGACTTAATGCTCGCAGAAAGCCCTTTTATTATTACTTTATTAATACTTTTATTATTACACTGCCGCAAATTTGCATTGACTCTTGTAACGAAAAATATATTCCATGAATTATTGCCATATATTGTTGCCACATATCGTTGCCATATATTATTGCCATATATTGTTGCCGTATATTATTACCATATATTATTGCCATATATTGCCATGTATTCTCGCCATATATTATATATGGCCACTTGAAATCGCGCGAGCAATCAAGAAAACTGAATTTACTGGTAATCGCAAAGGCACGGCAATGTCACAGATGGATGCTAGCAGCCCGTCTCAGAGTTGCCCGATAACACCATTGTTGTTGCAATTTAACTTTAAAAAACAGCGGTCCCCGGCCGCAAGAAACTTTATATCGCGAATTAACCCTTCGAACGGAATGCTCCCAAAGAGCGCTCTTGAGATAAATGCTAGTTATAAGCGAACTTGATCGATAGCAAACTTAACCTTCGATACCTCCTAAACGGCTCAAGATACAGGAAGGCGCTTTTGCCACAATGTAGTCCTATATCAACCCTATTCTCACCATAAATCTCGACTATCAATTCCCAGTAGAAGCGGAGATATCAACGGTACAAGATGGAAAACTTTAACCTTCAATATCTCCTAAACGGCTAGAGACACAGGGCTGTTTTCTTCACCAAAATATAGTCCTGTAAAAACTCTACATTCACCATAAATTTCGACTTTCAATTTCCAGTAGAAACGGAGATATCAACGGTACAAGTTGGAAAATTTTAACCTTCGATATCTCCTAAACGGCTAGAGATACAGGCCTGTTTTTTTCACCAAAATATAGTCCTGCAAAAACCCTAGATTCACCATAAATTTCGTCTCTCAATTCCCAGTAGAACGGAGATATCAACGGTACAAGTTGGAAAACTTCAACCTTCGATATCTCCTAAACGGCTAGAGATACAGGGCTGTTTTTTTCACCAAAATATAGTCCTGTAAAAACTCTAGATTCACCATAAATTTTTACTCTCAATTCCGAGTAGAGCCGGAGATATCAACAGTACAAGTTGGCATACTTTAACCTTCGATATCTCCTAAATGGCTAGAGATATAGGCCTGTTTTTTTTGCCAAAATATAGTCCTGTTTCAGCCCTATTTTCTCCATAAATTTCGATTCCCAACTCCCAGTAGAAGCGGAGATATCAACGGTAGAAGTTGGAAAACTTTAACCTTCGATATCTCCTAAACGGCTAGAGATACAGGCCTGCATTTTGCCAAAATATAGTCCTGTTTCAGCCCTATTTTCACCATAAATTTTAACTCTCAACTCCCAGTAGAAGCGGAGATATCAACGGTACAAGTTGGAAAACTTTAACCTCCGATATCACCTAAACGGCTAGAGATACAGGCCTGTTTTTTTGCCAAATTATAGTCCTGTAAAAACCCTATTCTCACCTGAAATTTCGACCCTCAGTTCCCAGTAGAAGCGAAGATATCAACGGTACAAGTTGGAAAACTATACCTTGGATATCTCCTAAACGGCTAGAGATACAGGCGTGTTTTTGTTGCCAAAATATAGTCCTGTAAAAACCCTATTCTCACCTGAAATTTCGACCCTCAGTTCCCAGTAGAAGCGAAGATATCAACGGTACAAGTTGGAAAACTATAACCTTGGATATCTCCTAAACGGCTAGAGATACAGGCGTGTTTTTTTTGCCAAAATGTAATCCTGTAAAAACCCTATTCTCATCATAAATTTGGACTCTCAATTCTCAGTAGAAGAGTAGATATCAACAGTACAATTTGGAAAACTTTAACCTTCGATATCTCTTAAACGGCTCGAGATACAAGCCTGTTTTTTTTTAAATATAGTCCTGTGTCAATCCTATTCTCATCATAAATTTCGAATCTCAATTCCCAGTAGGAACGGAAATATGAACATTAGAATTAGAAATGTAACCTTCGATATCTCTTTAACGGCTTAAGATACAGGAACGCGTTTTTGCCAAAATATAGTCCTATATCAACCCTATTCTTACCATAAAGCTCGACTCTCAATTCCCAGTAGAAACGGAGATATTAAAATTATAAGTTAAAAACTTTAACCTTCGATATCTCCTAATCGGGTAAAGATACAGGAACTGGCCTTTGTCTCCTAAACGGTTCAAGGTGCAGGAACACGCTTTTACCACCATATAGTCCTATATCTATCCTATTCTCACTGTAAAGCTCTACTTTCAATTCCCAATAGGAGCGGAGATATTAACCCTCTGTGGGCCCGTGTAACTTTCAGTTCACATGCTAATATATCGACATTTTGCTAAATTTTACTTTTTTCACAAGATGACGTATACGTCTTAATTGTATTATATTTCTGAGATAAGCAATAACAATATAAATAAAAATAATAACGATAATTACAATAATAACAATGATAATAATAACAATAATAACAATATAAATTGTTTAAACTGGCAAATCTGCATATATAGGTTTATAATTGTTGATTTTCCGTTCCACAAATTTTTTTATATTTAAAACAAAATTTCGGCCCATAGAGGGTTAACAATGTGCGAGACCGTGTTTGTCAAGTACGCTATTATGGCACGCTTGTAGCACGGACATAAACGCCTGAAAATGCATGTAGTACGGACTGCCAGTACATGTCGATTTTACCGCCGAAACCTAAAAGTAAATGTCGCATCGTTATTCCCCTTTCGAAATGGATGCAGATGGCGCCCTTTCACTGTGCGGAAAGTTGGTGTCGCCGAAAATGCCATGTTGGCCGCTTTCATGTTCCTCTATGCTTGCGACTGTCAAGAATACGGTTCTAGGGATTTTCCATTGCGATTGGTCGATACTTGTCACTTACGTATACGCAAGTAGTTCAAGAATAGGGCCCCTGGTTTACGATACGTGTCGTAAGTTGTGTAAACCGTAAGAATTGGTGAATCACAGTCGATTATTACAAAAGTAATCGGTTATAATTGGTCAGTTCTTACGGCTTACACTTACGACACGTATTGTAGAATGACTTTAAAGGCTCGTCTACAATAGCTGTAAGAGTAAGGCTGTAAGGCTGTAACGTAAGCTGTCAGCGAATGAAAATATTTCATTTCGTGCCTTGCAACCTTACAACCTTACTCTTACAGCTAATGTAGACGAGCCTTTAGAGGTCTTCCTTCCAATCACCACAAATCACAATTGATTATTTAAAAAATAATCGACTGTGGTTGATCAATTTGGTTACAATAAATGATTAATAGCTTATTGTAGAAGGCTCATTAGCACTGCTAACGGAGCTGTAATATAGCGCAAAATTTTCTCACCTCTCGGACAATATCAATCAAAGTTTCTGATTTTGAAAGAGGCCTAAAATTGGCAGCTCTGACGTTGAAAGAATTTTTCTCAGAGAAAATGAACGAACGTTTTTGGACGTTATATCTTTGCGCCTGTAGTATCGATCGGAAATTTGCATGTTGGTACAAGACGTTGAATTCACTATTTTCTACAGAAAAATTTGAGATAAATTCTGCTGGTTTTAGGAACACACGGTATACAGGGTAACCCAAGTGCAAGATCGATTTAATTCGCTGTAGTGTTGTAATTCACCGGTTGTTTGACTGGCCACTGTTGCTTGTTCACTGTGTAAACATACATGTATGATTTTGAATGATGCTGAGAAATCGCAAAGTTTGTATCTTGAATCATGATTTGTATATTCTATGTTATCGTCCTTTGTAGATTCAAATTATATTTAACAACATGGATGACATATGCAAGAAATTACCTTCCAACGTATTGAAGTAGGTTGACAGCTTGGCAAGTCCTTATCTATGTATAACAATTTGCTATGAATATGATTTGTTAATGATATATTGTTTACTATGTGCAAATAAAAATTAAATTATTCAATAGGGCAGAAGAATTGTTGCGTAGTAAAGGCATCAGCACTAATGTATTAGAAGAATGGGAAAAGTCGCTTCAAGCTCTTCCAAAGAGTGGAAAAAAGCACTTTGAGCCTAATAACTCGTGGCTCGAAAATGTTCAGATTGAAAAAGGACTCAAGACCCGTAGGAACTTGTTAAATATTGAGAGGGTTGAACGTGTCTCAGAATTAGCCAGTGCTGAGTGGATTCCATCCCAGAAGAAGGCTCTTGTCACCAAGAAATCTGGCCAGGATTGGTCTAGTTTTGGCATTGATAAAAATGGTTCTTTATATTTGATACCAGAAGAGGCATTGTTTCTTCTAGAAACTGTATGTATTTTAAAGTCTATTTAACGTCTATTTATATCTGTTACCATGTTATTTAAATTTAGTTTTAGCCATGTATACCTTTGATATTCTTTTATTATCTTGTTTCATCTTATATATATATATATATATATATATATACATATTTTTTAATTCTTATTACAAATTTTATTTTTTATTGATGTTATATGTAGTAAATTCCATATATATTTTTTCTAATTTTATATTTAAAGAAAAATCAGGCGTTGCAGAAAATAGCAAAATCTGAGAGAATTATGTAATTATCATAAGCAATTTAAAAGTTTCATTAATCTTAATATTTGAAAAATATTTCAATGAATTCCTTCTTACAGAATTGCCTTGAACTCATTTGGAATGGTGTACCATGTTCAATACAACAAGCATATGAGATTTTAATTGATGATGAAGTATGTACTTTAGATGAATATAGAGTTTATAGTCAATTAACACGTTGCGGTTACCGCATGCAGCGATATGTTTATGAAGAATCAGTTAAGAATGATAAATCAGATGATTCATCTGTAAAAAAGAAAGTTATTGTTGATCCTGAGAATGGACTAAGAATGTACGACAGTCAAACTCCGAATCAACAAATTTCAGAGAGATTAAAAGAGACCTTGGAGAAAGATGCATCACAGACAATAGATTTATCTGTCACAATGCCTAACACAAAAGACTGTTCAGATACTGTGGAACAAGCGATACTTGATGTCATGGACTATATTCTCTGTAATATAGAAGAAGGAGAAAATAATTTAGCTACTTCGCAGCTAACAGAGAGCAATAAGAAACAAAAGAGTGATATGGATGGTGAGGAGAAGGGTCAAAATTCAAAACTGGAAATTATATCCGACGAGATTCTGTTGGGCAGTATTAAAATCCTAACTGATACGACTTCCAGTCCTAAGAAGGAAAGTGTTACACCATCGAAATGGCTGGGTGCTCGCATCCAACGTAACGTCAAACTGTTACCCAAGAGGAGCAACAAAGTATCGCATGTTGAGATCTCTGTAATCGGCTCCAGTAGTACGAGTGGAAAGCTCAGGAACCATGGAAAGCGGAAGACGGTCGCGACGACCAACGAATCATCGGATACGAAAAAGTCGAAAGATGAGGTAAGATATTTCCGAACGTTCACGGAAACATACGCTGCAAATTATTCATAAAATAATCTTCCTTTCCCTCTCTCTCCACGATTAGGTAATTGAGTTGTCCGATGACGAGATTCAGGAATTACCGCACACAATGACGAGAATGGAAATGTTAAACTTGCTGCCGAATATCGCCTATAAATCGACCATGAAGAAGATTTCCACGCGGTATATACCGCGCAACGTGAAGCCGCAGAGAAACATCTATCAGTACAATCAAGCGCAACTATCGCACATGCAACAGAACGACAGGCAAGCGCGACAGAAGTGCAAGGGTATCGGCAACAACTCAAATCAGAACGCGTTTCGCTCGAACGCTTCCTCAAGCACAAATCTCAGGGCTGTTGTCGGCAACAACAGAAGCTCCGCTTATCCGAATCAACATACGCGTCCGCTCCTGTGCAACCCACCGCGGCCGTTTCACCCGATAAATCATCTGATGCACGGACCGCACATCGGCTTTCCTTATGCATACCACGGATTCCCGTTCGGCTGCAACCAAGGAGTGTACGCGCTCCAGAACAGATTAACGCTGATGCAGCAAAACGTGTTTCAAAATATGCTCGTCGCCTTCGAGAATCACGGTAACGCCGTGCAGCAGACTAGAAGCCTCACCATACAGATGAACAACTTTGCGATGCCGTTCACAGGACTGTATCGAACAAGATGTCCGGAGAACCAGTACAGCCGACAGGCTGTCTATCGAAACTTTCCCTCGCAACAAAGGACGTTTTGTCAGCGACGTCCAGAGAACGCGTCAACGATGCAGAGCAATGCACATTTCATCGGGAAACGTCGATGCGAGAATGTGAAAAAGAATAATAATCGTGAAATCACTAACCGGCCGTCCTTCACGATACATCCAGGAGTCAGTTCGTGGGCAGAGTTAAAGCAGAAATGGTGCGAGGAGAAGACCATCACGATTGACGACGAGGATTGTAAGAGCAGAAACGAGAGTGGAGAGGAAGTGCAGGTTGTGGAGCAGTTTGTGAAACCGTTAGTGGGACCCAGACATGCAACGTCGCTCGCGGAGGTTTGCAATAAGCTCGCTATAATAAAATCTGCGCCGGAGAAGACTTTCAGAAGGAAGAAGAGCAAATATAAGATATCGTACAACGTGTACTCGTGTTCTCATCACTATAAAAAATCGAATCCCGGTCAACCATTGTATAGCGTGGTAGTGATAAGGTACAGTCTATTAATGTGAGAATACTATAATGTTGTTGACATTCATAGTGATATTCCGACTGTATTGCAGGAAGGAGAATTCGTTTCTCCAACCAGTCGAGCTAAATCGTCTGCAACAGGATGCGAAAGGTTCTCAAATAATATTGGCCTGTGTCTCGATGTCGATATCATACATTCAACCAGGTATTATAACGATGCCAAACATTATCTAATCCAGAGAACATTGCACCAGCTGCAAGACTATTTTTCTAAAAATAGCTGGTCACTCGACAAACCCCTATTGTGTAATACACTTTGGTTGTGTGTAGTCCTCAAAATGTAAATTAAAAAAAAAAGTATACATATATCTCATTTTATATTACAATAGTATAATTGTTTGTACCACAATATTATACATTAAATAATATATATTATAAGAATAGTGAATGTCACATTTTTGTTTTACTCATAGACTAAGTTTGAGCAAAACTTTTTTATTGTTAATTAAACCAGACAGAGAAGCGAGTATTTTCTCTGCAAACAAACGGTGCATTTATTAGAAATTGTATACTATTATAAAACTCACAGACGTATCGCGAATCTCAAAATGATACGCACGAATGGATCGAATACAAGGGAAATAAACGACAAGTTACATAATATTAACACTAAATTAGTATATAAAAAATAATTTTTTTCATATTTTTTAAATGATAGTGGATGAGTATCTAGATGTGTGATGTATTTTTTACAAGAAAGCACCAAGTCTCAGACAGGAAAGCACATAGAATGCACACGATGGAATTGCAATCAATTAGAAGAGAACCAAATGCCTGTGTCAAGTCAAATTAACGAAAAACGAAATCATTTTGACCGGAATAAAATCTTGAATAATTTCATAGTATCATTTCTCTTGAATTAGGAGTAATGAGAGTCCGATTTAGTTAAATTGTTGTACGATGAAAACAGAAAATTAGAAAAGAAGAGGGGGATAAAACAGAAGGGGAGAAGAAGGAGAAGAGAACCACAATGTGGTGTAGAGTAGAATTTGCGTGTCTGTCACGATAACGTCACGTCATTATAGCGTTTGATAAACGAGCCTTGAATCTTTGGACTATTGTGAATGGATACTAAAAGATCGAAGAAATTTTGTCGACGTGCAACTCACGTCGAATCCAACGATGAAACTGAAGCGCAAACCTGTGCGAATTCGCAATCCAAAGAAATCCACCTAACCTACGACGTTTTGAGAATTATCTTTCAGCTCTTGAACTATAGGGATTTGGCAAATGCATCAAAGGTCTCCAGGTACTTACGACGCATAAATAATCTATCGATAATTTATGCTCAATTTGATTCTAAACTATTCGCTCATACTTGCCTAATACAATTTTAACGATCATATCTTTAACAAATACAACAATATCTTACAATTGGTTTGTGGAAAACGGTTATGGTTTGATAGGTGATTACTCAAGGTTGTCACATAAATATTATTCTCTTTTTCCTGTTTCTTCTTTTGATGTAATAAGTATGAGCAGATAAGTCTTATAGATTCCTTGGTATTTGGAAGCATTTATAAATAAATTTTAAATACTTTATATCATAATAATAGAATTTATTAGAACCGATTATTAGTATTTATAATGTCATGTTTTATATTAAAAATTAAAGGGATACAAATTTACAATTATTGCAATTCTTCTTAACAGGTCCTGGTTAGAAGCGGCTCAAGAAGAAATGCAAATAAGAACTGAACCTACTGCCTTTCGGAAACATAGTGATTCTATAAAACAAACTTCGGCAGTTATTTTAAAAGATTTCTTGAACCTAAGAATTGAACCATATATTTCATTCTATTTTTTATGTCATAGAACAAACTATATTAATATGGAGCGGACAATTATAGGTATACAAATTTCCCTTAATAATGAAATATGTATAGAAATTTTGAATTATTATAAAGATAAACAATGAGTTAGTTTTATTCCTGAAAATGACATATAAAAGAACTTGTTATTTTTTAAATATATCGAAATGAGTTGTTATGTTGTTCATCTCTTATTTATTACTATTTAGACAATTGAATGAGATTAAAATATTGGTCTTTTCTTTTTAAGGAAATATCTTTCAACAAGTTCACGAGAATTCTGAAATCATAATGGTGCATAGTGCAGGCATTATTTTAGACAGTGATGAAATAGAAGGTAAAAACAAAGATATATTATGTGCATTTTTACCGAAAATTCCGAATGTAGATATCAGGATATTTCAAATACCAAATCCAAATAGTAGAAGAAAAGAGGAAGGATTAATCCAGACGATAAAACAATTGCCAGCACTAAATAAGGAGAAGTCGACATGTTTAATAATATTTGGCACTGCTCTTGAACACAGTCATATAAAATCTTTGATAAATGATTTAAACAGGTGATTTTGACGTAATTCAAATAATAATAATATATGTAGTGTACAGTAACGATCGACATTTAATAATATGTTCTTTTTCTTTTACTCAGTTATTCGAATAAAATATCCTCAGTCTGGGGTGGGTTGGTGAAAAACTGTTACATACATGATAAAACTAGTTCTGTTCTTCGAGCCCCATACTGTATCAGTATTTTAATTACTGGCCGTATGAAGACATGGTCGACGATCGTAGATCAATACTGTAACACAAAAGAGAAAGTTGAAAAACACTTGAGGGAATGGAAGGAAAAAGTGGAATTGAGGAAACATAGTATCGGCTTTATGTTTGCGTGTCATGCGCGCGGCGAATCGTTATATAATAAGCCAAACGTAGAATCGTCGATATTCAAAAGTTTATTCCCTGATTTAAAATTGGTGGGTTGTTTCGGTGACGGCGAATTGGGCAAACATTCATTTCCAGCAGACAATTGTAAAACATCTCGTAAGTAATGCCTGATACATCTTACTTTCTCCTGTAAAAATGTTCTCTGGAATATTTCGACACGATTTTTTCTTTCGTTTCAGATAAAAAAGAGTGCAGTTGTTGCACTCTTTACTACATTCAGTATTCTACTATATTTATGATACTTACGTACGATTGATGACGTAGGAGCCGTCAATGCGTGGCCACGCCGTATTTCTTTTTCTTCTGAACGTTTCTAAACTTACTCCTGGATTTTCACATCTATTATATGATATATAACGATATATCATAGTTGCCTATTGCCTATATCATAGTGGCGTGATGATAATTATTCACGGGATAACAGACACATAGACAATGCAACAAACGTTATAATAAATCGGATTGTGAAGATCGCATGTGAAATTCTCAGGTACATTGTACGTGATTTCTGTATATGTATATGTTTATACTTAATATAAAAATCGCGGCGATGCTACTGAATGGTAAGAAGACACACTAGATATTATATGTTATAATGTATCATAATATATTGTATGTTCATACTGGAACCGCCTTTTTGCAACCTTTACGCTCATTCTCTTCATACATGCGATTCAAACAAAAGCTGCCTGACCGCATGTTCGCGAGTGACTACCTCGTTCTGCATCCAGCTTCTTGGCGTGAAGAGGAAAGATACAGACAGCGAGATTTGTCGCTCGCGCTCGTGCTCGCAGCTCTGTTTGAAATAACGCGGATTACATTGAACACTGCAGTCACTCGACAAAAGTATGCAAATCATTCAAGATACCGAGTTTTACTCCGCTGCATTTGTAATATTATCAACCAGCCGGTTTAGCGTTGTGATTTAAGGCTGGTCGTTAGATGCGATATGCGCGGATACCGGGTCACGCACTATTCAATTCGGTACAAGACTCCGCACCCTCCTGAATGTAATTACAATCCTTGAGGCCGCTTGACAGTACTTCCGCGCTCGCGATACCACATACGAGATAAAACAGGAAGAAACTGGGCCAGGAGTGGGCGTCGGCGTCTTATCGTGATACTCGCAGGATTTAAGGAGCCTCCTGTAGCCCACGACATCAGTAGTAATTCGATTGTAGCACGTCCCCGTCATTGGCCGGACTTGCACGCGCGAGGTTTGCAACTAGTACGATGGTACCGAGCCTGCCGTGGAGACAAATTGTCGTTCTCGTCGCACTGTGGCGATCCGCGTACTCGGAACGATGGGAGAGCGGGCTGCGGCAGCGGTATGACGGCTACGGAGAGGACTGGATGTTCATGCCGGACGGTAACGGGCAGCCTCAGGTAGCGGTACTGAAGGTCCAAGACAGCGGGACGAGAGGCGTGTTGGACGGCTCGGAGATATCTTACATAATTTATACCCGGTATCCAGCTACAAGTCGACGCGTACGACGTATAACAACTCGTCGCACCGTTCGCTAAGTCCTCGATCTAGCTTTCCATCTCTTTTCAAGCTCCGGCCCGGAAGCAGGCACGCGTATGACCCTGAACGACACCGCGAATCTCGTCAGTTCCGACTTCAAGCCATCGCGCAAGACAAAATTCATCACGCACGGCTGGAAGTCGAGCGCCATGAGCGCCGGTCCCGTTAAGTTGAAAGAAGGTACGGCAGTTTTTGTTCTTTCTCCATCTCTCAGTCGCTTAAATCACCAGCTCGGTGGTTGACGCGTCGGCGAGGCGCAGCTTGGATAATTCATATCTTTCGGAGCGCACAGCTTTCCTCACCCACGGTGACTACAACGTCATCATTGTGGACTGGGAACCGTTGGCCGCGAGTACCTTTTACCTGGGCCCGATGCACAACACCGTAAGGGTCGGGGCCGACGCCGCTAACTTCATCGACTTCTTGGTGCGGGAGGCCGGGCTGAAAACGAAAGACGTTCACTTTATCGGTATGATGTGCGATCTCTCTTTCTTAAGTAACTTAAGTTACTTAAGACTTGCCGATATTTTCGTCATTTTGTTGTCGCTTCGACGAATTTAAACGAATTAAAGCTTGCGTATCAAGCTTGTTGAACTTGCTCTCAAGGTCATTCCCTGGGGGCGCACGTGGCCGGGAACGCCGGCAGTGCGACGACTTCTGGAAAGCTGAGCCGAGTAACAGGTTTGGATCCAGCGTTACCGGGTTTCCACATGTTCGCCTCTGAGAAAACTCGGCTGGACCCTACGGACGCGGTATTCGTCGACGTCATACACTCCTGCGGAGGTGTGCTGGGCTTCTTTCAGCCGCTGGGCAAAATCGACTTTTATCCAAACGCCGGCACGGCGATTCAGCCCGGGTGCTGCTGCGTCCCCGAGATGATGGGTAAGGCAGTTATGCCGTCGACGGAAAATCTATTCGCGATATGAACGTCGTTCTAACTAACTCCAATGCAATTTCAGAGGCATGCAGCCACGGACGGTCGTACGCGTATTTCACAGAGAGCATCAACTCGAGAACAGGGTTGTTGGCCATCAAATGTGACAGTTGGGATTCGTATATAGGCGGCAAATGCGCCAATTCGCAGACAGTTCTCCTGGGGGAGCACGTCGACAAGACCGCTAACGGCCTGTTCTTCCTCAGAACTAGATCGAGTGCACCTTACGCATACACGTCAGAAGTAGTCGATAATAAAATTTGAAGAACAATTTCCTCTTCCCCCTTCCCGAGTGTCGAGTCACGTATTTGCGCGTTGGGTCGTTTTGAGACGTTTCAGACGCGTCTTTGAGGTAACTAACGACACTTTGGCCAATCAGTTCGTAGAAAGAACGGCGAATATAAAATGTTTTGGCTTTAATAAATAGTAATTACATTATTTTATATATGACTGAGGCATAATAAACGTGGCGACAAAACGGACATTTCTAGATGTTAATCTTCTACCCTGCCTTGAAAGCTCGGAAAGTTTCCAACTGCGATATCACGTCACTCAGCCGCCTGGGCGTTAATATGTGATAACTAGGAAACGACCAGCACCAAATATACAACATATATATATATATATATATATACGGGAATGACTTAACGCTTAGATCGGCTTGTAAAGCAAGGTAGTGACGTATTTTTTGCGGTAACGGTGCGTGGCCGACAAGACCATCACGCTGTCCTTGATGCTCAAGGCGTAAAGGTGGTTCAGCATGACGTGATTTGGCTCGGGTAGAAGAGTAGGTTCACACTGGAAATACGACACGTGGTGAGAGCGATACTTACGTCGATATAAAGGTCGAATTATTTAATTTTCCTGTTGCATTTAACTTACGGATAGCGGCGTGTCCTTATTGAGGATAACTTGCAGCAGGTGCGGCGGCAAAATAGGCGGACCGGGTACCTTCTCCCAAGGTTTATGCGGCGGTATCTCTTGTCCGTATTCCGTTTGAGCACTACTAGTGACACCCTCGCTGTCTTTCGCGAGAGCTTGAAATACTTCAAAGTCAGATTTCCTCACAGACACTAGATTGTTTTTGGAGCCCATACCATTGTCCACAATTTTCTATATTAGATCCACAGATTTAAGTTTTGTATGCTGCACATATATATTTGCATGAGGAAAGAATTACAACATAGATTTATTCTTACCAGGCCAGGATCGTGTCTCCATTCTCCATCAACAAAGAACTTATACTGATGCTCTCCCTCTGGCAAATCAATAATTGTCACAAAATCTCCATGGCTCTTTACCATTGGCAATGTCTTCCAACCAGTAAATGTTCCGCTGATGTATACTTGTTTCCCACCTCCTTCCCATTTGAAAACAGTTGGGAGTACTTTGCTATCTGCAACTTTTGTTCCTTCAGAAACAGTATTGGATCTGGGTCGTTGTGATCCAAAATCCTCTCCATCTTGTTGGCCGGTCTGTTTTATATTTACACAGGATACTAGTATGGATCATTTACACACATGCATTGCTTTAACATATCCTAATGTTACCTTTGCAAAATATGACTCTTCTTCCTCGTGAGAAGACTGAAAGACAAGTTTTTGGCTGGGTTTCTTGTCAAATATAAACACCTGACCTTCTTTTCCCGGAGAAGATGGTGGATGATCTTTGCTGTGTCGATGCTCTCTACTCACTGTACTGCCATGATGATGGCTGACAGGTTGATTACTTCCCGCATTACCCATTGTTACAAGCAAGACCTTAACTAAAGCAACAAGATTTGTCTTAGCTAAATTTCAAGGTAACATTGGAAGATCAATATGCACAGTAGTAGATTAAAAATAAGGCATTGATTGCTTACAGATTGTTTAACAATAATAACATTTCTGTCATTGGAAGTAAGCAATTGTAATGAAGAGAGCATGCATAACAGCAGGAAGCTGAATATATTATAATGCGACTAATTTTAACTATATAACGACAAAATTTGCCATAACCAACAATATTAGCAAGTGGTTCTTGCTAGTACGTTACTCACCTGTTTGCAATATCTCTTGCCGCTAGATATACGCGTCAATGTCAAATCGGAAACGTAAACATCCGCTGTTGAACCGGATTAACAATCTGAAAAAATACGGGATGACACACAATCCTATCCTCGCGAATGTTTAAACCATCATAAAGGCCATTCGCCAAGCGACGAATAAAACATTTTGATTGCAAACGCATATAGTGCACTTTTAGTATCGCAGATTTTTCATTAGCATAAAATAGTTACCGAGTATCGGTAGTAGGTTATTACAGAAATATATATTATCAAGAGTGGAAAATACTAATTGTCAATATTGCTAAGTTGGTCAAGTTGACGACAGATGATATCTCATCGCACGATAATAACAATAATTTAACAACGAATCGTGATTTATAATTGATTGTGAAGTTGTCTCATTTCAATAATCATGCTACTTTAAAATACCTTATAATTTGTCTGATCGGAATTTATATCAAACAGATTATTATAACGCGTTAATTATATATGTATATGTATAGATATGTATAACCGATTCAATATATTATCATACATAATTCAATATAGCGCAACAAATGTTAAAATTTTATTATACATGTATATTATGTATATAAATTTCAAATCGCGCACATGCACCATCTATTAATATTCACTATCATGATAAGAAACCGTGATTTTTCCGGTTTTTATGTCGTCGAGAATAATAAATTTGACATCCAAACGAGTATCGCAAATGCCTGCGAAAAAGTTCTGCGTAATCGACATGTCGCGTTCTTCCCGACGATAATATCTAGATTTCGTTGTAAGACATACCGATTGTTCTCGATCATGGTAAGTCTTTCGGGCAGAAATGCGCATGCGCAGAGCCTCTATTTTCAGTTCGGTCCCATGCCTGGGGTTCTGCGGACAATCGCGCGCGGTCTGCAATTTTCGCGTCGTTATATTGTTAAAAGTGCGTGACACGTCCGAACAAGTGCTTCTTTGAATATTGCACAAAATGCCGGGTGATCTTCGGATGGCAAAATTTCGCGCGTCCAATCGCAGATATAGTCGTGCCGCGTCTTACTCGTGTCTCGTTCACGAAAATCCGTTAGCTAGAGCCATGTTTGATTCGCGCGAGAATGTCCGTTGGTCAGTGCGGAGTGATCGAATGATTTTCGCGTCGTTTGCTGTGTCGTAGCAAGTGATCATCGAATCGTCACGATCGCGATTGTGATGTGATGTGATGTGATATGATATGATATAATGTGATATGATGTAATATAGTGCAGTGTCAGTGTGATGTGATGTGATCAGTGATCAGTGATCAGAACGAGATGGATTACAGTGGAGGATTACAGTAAAGGATTATACATTGGAGAAGCGACAGGATGGCAGAGTTTCCGGTGAGTAAAGGATCTGTCAATTATTTATTGGCAATACGACGAAATCGGGTGCGAGACGCGCCTGGAATTCTTACGGTTAGGACACGCGAATCGCACGCAGCAGGTTGAATTCGCAAGCGCTTGAGATAGCGCTAAACGTTGACTTTTCGCGCCGACAGATGGCGCCACCGGTCGGTATTTCCATCGCGCATCCTTCCGTCGTAAGAATCACGCAGAGAGCTCACAGCGCAGCTTACTCGAGATACACCCGAGTTGAGTTTTAGAAAATTATTTCGCTTGTACATGTTTTTCATATTTCCGTAAAGCGCTCGGACGAGTCGAACTGCGAAACGAGCTCCTTTCTGCGCGTTTCCTCGCTGAATATTGCTGAAAAGCCGTTTTCCAACGCGACGAGAAACGCTGTTTGTGGTAAAGTTTAAGCGCTGATAAACATATCGGCCATCAGATTCCTCCTCTACGCATCGCGTATATTCATTCCCTCCTCTTCTCCTCGTCTCACCATAACTGCACGCTCAATTTCATCTTCCCTTTCCCTTCGTGTGTTCCTCGGCCGTCAACTTTTTCGCCGTTTCCTATGCGAATTTATTATTTATAAAGAACCTCGGGCGTGTTTCGTCCTTCGTAGCCGCCGGCTAACAGAGGAAGAGGGAATGAGAGAGGGAGGGGGGAGCGAAAGAGAGAGAGAGAGAGAGAAAGAGCTCATATCGAGGCACGTATGTGCCTCCTCGTGGCCGCGGTTGATTCAGAGGGGTGGACCGCGAGTAAAAACGTGCTCCGTGTATTAAATATCCTGCAATAACAGTAATTACGGTTACGGCATTTTGCGAAATTGCGCGGCTACTTCACCGCGGCACAGCGCTTGTGGTCGCGCCGAACGCACGTGATCTTCATGGGCGGCAAATATACGTACAGTGCGGACAGCATTACCGATTCCGAAAAGAATCGGCCATTCGATTTTTGCACGTCAAATAAGCGCGACTCTCCTTTGCTTTCTCTCTCTCTCTCTCTCTCTCTCTCTCTCTCTCTCTCGCTCTCTCTCTCTCTCTCTCGTTCTCTTTCTGGCTTGGCGCGCAATCACGATCGCGTGGAAACAAACACGGCGTATGGAGATGCGTAGCGCTGTTGCTTTGATATTTATAAACACAAAACGTGTAATACATTATCACATATGTACGCGCGCGATATTATATTTATATATTGCATGAAAAATTAATTATTGAAATATGCGAGCGCGGGATCCGCGCTCGGTACGTACGCGAGTGCATTAAGAAAGACATCTTTCGATTTGTGATTACATCCCTGTTGTTATACACTTTTGTTTGAATTACAATTCTGGATTGCGTAGTGCTTTTCTTTGCTAGATGCGAAGAGGCGGTATTAACGTGTCGTATTTTCAACATGTTTTATCTGCACCGCCACTGTAGAATGCATTTTATCCGGGTTGTAAAATGTTTGATTCGCTTGACAAAGTGATGGATGCCTCCCATTGAACGGCGATAAAATGCTGTGACGTTATACTTCTCGAGATAGCATGGATTTCATTTACGCAACATGCTGTCTATATTGATTATTAAATGTATTCTTTATTTAATGATACTGATTAGATTAGTGTAAAAGGCCGGGATTATCTAAAGTGCGGACATCTGCTTGCGGTTTCCGCTAATTCATTACGTTCCGTAGATTTTACGCGGTTCATTTTTATCTGGATTCTTGATGGGCAGATGTATTTGTGTTCGCGGGAAACTTATCATGTGTGACGTTAAAAGCATGATCGCAATTCTAAATATGATACAACTGTGTGTGTGTGTGTGTGTGTGTGTGTATGTGAAGCTGGCGTCTCACCTTGCGGAAATTCATAAACCATCGACAGTTCTAGCTTTCTTTCTAACAGCTTTAAAGTTCTTGACAAGTTAAACAAATATAAGTTCTTCCCATAAGAGCAAAAAAAAATTGATTCAAACGAAGGGAGACGTCAGGTTTACGCTCATCTCGTCTTACGAGTGATCTTCACTTCTAATTTGTTAATATCAAATGCAATTACTTTAATCATTGAGATCAAACTTCTTATTGCTTAGGACGCGGCAAAAATTTCAACTAATATCTTAGATAATTATGAAAATCTTCCTACATTTTTCTCTTATCATAGGGAACTATATTTAAAATATTTGTTATCAAATGATATTCCAATTCCAATGCATTAGAGATATATCACTTTTGCATCCTGTTTGTCGATCAATATTCAACGGCTAAGCATTTCTCAGGTACACTGAAAAATTAGCTTTTCAATGAGTTCTCTCTGAAGTGTCTGCGATTCCTAGAACTGAAGATGTCACCTATAATATCGAACCGCGCTCGAACGATCTCTTATCGCTAACTTAATGTAGGTCAAGGGTTTCCGGCTTGCTCACACTACGCGTAGTTGAAGTTAAAAGACACAACATGTCTGCGACATGAGCCACGCGTTCGTTCACATTTGCATTTTGAATATCGTAACTTGGCTATGCTTAAAGTTATGTTGATGCGGTAGTACAGGAAAATTAATCATATTGCTTCTTTATCAAAATTAATTTGTTGTAGATATTTCGACAGCTTATATTTTGTGACTCGATACTACTGCATCGATCGATTTCAATTTCGCAGCTTATATCGCAATAATATAATGCTACGTCGTCGCAGTTGGTGGAGATCTTAGTCATTTTGGATCAAAATCTTGTCATTTATATTTTATTTATTTATAATCAGTGATTTTTCCGCAGCTATCACTTTCGTCATTTCTATCTCCATAACGCGTAATCGTAGCGGAATACGGTTTATGCTCGGATCATTTTTATTTCGAATCTAGATTAATATTTTATCGCAAATAATTTCCCAATTTATTTTTATTCCCGGTGACCCATTATCTTTTTATCGATCTCGTTTCGGCTATATTTTCTCTGTCACGAACAGCGTTACGACTTCGACGATTGGTACTTTATCATTCTATTTTTGTTAATTTATAAATCGTAGTTCGATTTTTTTCGCGCGTGTCACATGTCTACACTGTAAGAAATGATGTGTTAAATTTAACATATTTCATGTGTCTCAAATCATCCACTCTCATTTACGTGTTAATTTAACGTACAGCAAATATGTTAAAAAATAACACACATAATGTGAAAAAATTAATACAAAAATTTAACATTTGAACGCCGTCAAGAATCACAGTGTTAACACACACATTGTGTTAAATTGACATACAATGAATGTTACTTCAACATTTGGGAAAAGTAATGATCTATGATTTAATGAAATGAAAATGTTAGATTGACATAGTCTATGTGTTAAAAATCCAATCTTCACATACTAGAAATGTCAACATTATATATTTAACCCAAGATAACTGTTATAATGAGGAAAGTAACACATTTTAGGTGTTGATTTCAACATATAAAATATGTCATAGCAAGAATTCATGCATTTACATATAAATTATGTTATTTTAATATTTGGAAATGTCATTTTAACTTGGGAATAGATAATCTTAATTTCACACAAGAAAGTCTAGGTAACACAACAACGATATGTTAAATTAACACACGACTGTGTAAAAAATTTAACACAAAACTTTCTACATACAAATAATTTTAACAAAAGTATTGTATATCCATAACGTGGATTGTTACGTTGGCACGAGTTTGTTAAGATCTTAATCATTATATTTAGTGTCCCATTCTGTCTAAGCTCTAAACGCTTGGACATTATTTCTTCTTTTAAATAAGAGAACATTAGTAATGCCTAGAACTTTTGGAAAAATCCTTATGTGTGTTTAGAGTTATTG